ATCAAACAAGGAAATGACAACCTGTTCAACAAATGGGGCTGGCAAAACTGGACTGCAGAAGCCATACCTCTCACCATAACTCAAGGTGGATCAGAGACCTAGGGGTAAAGCACCAAGCCATAAAGATCCTAAGAGACAAAGTAGGACCACACTTAGCAGGCCTAGCTCATGGTATAAAAGGCCAACAAATACAGCCAGAAATACACAACCAGGAGAAGATAAAATTGATGAATGGGACCTAAAGATTAAATCCCTGTGTACATCAAAAACATCTTCCAACAGAGTGAAAAGAAAACTTGCTGACTGGGGAAAAAACATTTGGCAGTACCATCTCAGACAAGGGTCTCATAACAAAAGTTTACAAAACTCATAATGTTAAGAACCTTACAGGGTAAAGGGAAGGGTGGGTAAAAGAAATGGAAAGATCCAGTGTGAAAAACAATGTATATGAACTTTGCAAGCAATTTTATTTTGTATGAAATTTTATTTTTTAAAAAAACCTAACAAATAAGAAATAGGAGTGAGCTATCAAGTTTAACTCTTGCTATGGTCACCCAATACGCCACAGCTGTGTTTGTTTGCTCATCCTGCGGACGCCTTTATGGAGAAATTTCCCCACGGGTAGCTGTGACAGATACCCACTCACAGTGCTCAGACCCCCGTGCCTTAGCTGGCCCTGGGCACCACAGGAAGATGAGTCTGTCTAGTCATTATCGCCTCCAGAGGCTCTCGGACTCAGTCTAGTGTGAACAGTTTCATTTTAAGGAAACATTATGGGGTCTAGGTTTGTCTTTATGCCAACGGCTAGAGTTCATGGTGGGTATTGAGTCTGCACTCCAGGTGTGTTCCATGATAAGGGGGGGGGGCAGGCTCATCAGGAAAAGGACCACATCTGAAGTGACTTTTCAGATAGATAACACTCGGTGGGAGGACATTTGTCTTCTGCTTTAGTTATCTGGACCTGCTAAAACAGAAACATCACAAGTAGATGGCTTTACCAAATAGATGTGTTATCTCAGAGTTTGTTGTTTTTGTTGTTATGTGCTGTCGAGTCACTTGCAACTGACTCACAGTGACCCTCCGTACAACAGCCCTGAAACCTGCTCTATCCTGTGCCAGCTTTACTGTCTCCGGCAAACCTACTCTTATTACTCCAGTCACTGTATCAATCCACCCCCTCAATGGTCTCCCCCTCTTTCTCTGTCCCTCCACCCTTCCAAGCGTGATATCCCTCTCCAAGAACCTGTCCTCTTTGCAACATGCCCAAAGTATGTTAAACGGAGCCTCACAATCCTTGCCTCCAAGGAGCAAGCTGGCTTCACCCTCTTTAATATGAACCCGATTGTTCTCCTAGCAGTCCATGGTATGTTCAAATACTCTTCTCCAGCACCACAGCTCAAAGGCATCAATTCTCTTTCTATCATCCCTAGTCATCGTCCAGCTCTCTGATGCATAACAAGCAATTGTGAAGACTATGGCCTGGAAGGCACATCTTAATCTCCAGAATAACGTCATTGCTCTTCAGTACTTTGGAGAGGTCCCTGGCAGCTGGATTTCCCAATGCAATTCATCTCTTGATTTCTTGGCTGCTGGTACCAAGAGTGTTGATTGTGAAGCCAAGCAAACTAAAGCTGTAAATAATCTCAATCTCTTCACCATCCATTATGATGCTGCCTATTGGCCCAGTGGTAAGAATCTTTGTTTTCTTGATGTTGAGTTTCAATCTATATTGAAGGCTGCAGTCCTTGACCTTCTGCTGCTGCTACTCATTTTCAGCAAGCAAGATTGTGTCATTTGTATAACACAGGTTGTTGATGAATCTTCCTCCAATCCTGATGCTACATTCCTCCTCATACAGCCCAGTCTCCGGACGATCTGTTCTGCATATAGATTGAAAATGTATGGAGACAGAATACATCCGTAGTGTACAACCTTCCCAATTTTGAATCATGCAGTGTCTCCTTGTTCTGTTCTGAAGACTGTCTCCAGGTCCAAGTATAGGTTTCGCATAAGCACAATTAAATGTTCTGGGATTCACATTCTTCACAGAGTCAGGCACAGTTTGTTGTGACCCACACAGCCAAACGCCTTTGCATAATCAGTGATATCATTCTTCGCTTGGGTCTAGGAGGTGTTTGGCCCAGAGCCTTTGAGTCCACAGGACACATTTCACTCCTGGTTCTTCTTTATTGGTGGTGCTGGGGTCTGTCTTGGCACCAAGGTAGCCCTTTTCCCTGCTCTCTCCTTTCATTTCTTGTAAAAGAAAGTGTGATTCATGCTGGATCCTGGAAGAACTTTCCTTACATAGGATCAGGAATGTGACCTGAACCAGGGTCTTGCATCCCCCTCTAATCTTGCTCTGTTAGCAAAAAAACACAACCTAATTCCCCTTGACATCAGCCAGTCTGAGAGATTCAGATTTACACCACCTCCCAAATGAAGGGTGATTACAACACATTACATGATGGCAGGTAATTGCACCATGGCATGGCATGACTCTCTAACCACTGAGACTCAAGAACCGGCCAGGTTGGCACATATTTGGGGAGGACAGGATTAAACTCATGCTACTTTCCTATAAAGTGACAGGAGCCACCAGAAGCCCTGTACTCCCAGACTCTACAGGCCCAGTTCTTCAGCACTCAGCTACTTCAGAACACAACGATCAGGGAAACCCGTAGATTCCAGCTGGCTCAGGCATCTTCCAGGTGTTTCTATAGCAGGTGAATCAGGCCAGCACATTAGAGGGTGGATTTCCGGCAAATTCACGAGTGAAGCAGTGTTGTGACTTCTCGTCTGTCAACTGAATCCCCGTTATGTTATCCCATCCAGCGAAGCTTGTGTCTCCATGTTGATGGGTGTTAAGAGATTTCCTTAGAAACTACAAGTCAATTTCTGCAGTTATTACACCTAAATCTTCAGTGTTCTCTCATTTGACTGACCAAACCAATATTGTCTCAATTTCCTAATATAGTAATTGTTTACGTTGAGATGTATTTGTGAAAATAAGAGCATTATTTCCATCTACTGAATGGTCCTCTCTGATAAAGATTTGGAAGTTCATTCTCCAGAATTTGTCTCCTGCAGTACCACCTTAGTTACCTCCATCTGGTCATCTGGTCCATCTGATCAGAAACTAAAGAAAGGGAGCGGCTTGCACTGTGTGAGGCTGAGACCCATGCAAACAACCCACTGTGACGCTGGCTACATTAAAATATTGTTTTCAATACCGGCTACATCCAATGAAGAGTTAATTCAAACTCCCACGTGCAGGTGATCAATTAAAAGTATATTGTCTGTGTTGCATTTTGAAGGCAGACGGTTCGAATCCATCAGATGCTCCACCGGGGAAGGAGTGGTAATCTCCTCCTGTGCCAGCTAGATCTGATTAGACGGTACACAACAAAAAAGCAAAACATAAAAGTATATTGTCAAGACCAGGGTACAAGCAAAAATTTCTAATCTTGTTATAAAACATGTGGCCAAAATGCTATATATTTGTATTTCTTTAAAGAGAAGAAAGAAGGGTTTTTATCACCATATTATTAGTTGACAAAGATCTGAAAGTTGTTAGGTGCCCTCAAGCTGCCAATGACTCATCGCAATACGAGTAACACACTGAAACTCCGCTATCTTCTGCGCCACCTCACAGTCCACACCACGCTCCAGAAAGTGCTGCAGCTGCTGTGTCAGCCCATCTCATTACGAGTTTTCCTGGCTTTGAACGACTCTCTGCTTTTCTAAGTGAAGCCCTGTGAATAGATTCAGAACATAGCACCTGCATAGAGACTACCAATCTTAAATAGTAAGTGGATGTTCAGTAACTCAAAGAATGAAATCAGTATCAATCAAATATTGCTCATCTGGTTGTGGTAATATTTCTCATTTCTTGAATGCCAAGACTATCGGTAATTGCCAATAGATTCTGTTGTCCACTTATGAACAACAGAATGAAAGAATGCCCAGTCTTGCCAGTCCTGTACCATCTGAATGACCACTTGCTCAGTCATTACTTTGGCTGTTGTATCAATCCATCTCAATAAGGGTTCCCCTCATTTTCATTGCTCCTCTATAAACATACTGCCTTGTATATGTTCACCACATACTTCATCAGCTTTTATCTGCAGAATTCCTACAAATAACGATCTTAAACACAATTCTCATGCTTAGTGCTCAACTGAGGATCTTAGCCACAAAACACATTGGTTTAAAATATTTATTAATTTAAAAAAAATTTAAATCTTCTTTAATACAAAGAGGATGAGAAAAATCTCATGCAAACTCTGGGCATACAATAAAAATAACTCAAATAGCAATATGATGATTTTGCACAAAATAATCCTTTTTGAAGAAGGACCTCCAACAAACAGTGGGGAGTCCCTTTTCCAGACCTGGACTGTCCCCCAATGGATGAGGCAACCGCCTTTTGAAACATGTACATAATAAGCCCCTGTGTTGAGATGTCCACGGTCGTCACTATGGTTGACAACGAACACCCCACTACAACTACTCAGGAAACGAGATCACGGCCCAGGGACACTTGGGCAAAGAACTCCTCACCACCACTGAACTCCTGAAGGACAGAAGTGATTCACAAAGGCTTTGAGAAGGTGCAGGCATCAAATAACAGGATGAAAAAATGCCTTGAGACTGTAATAGATGATGTGGGTTTCTGCTTAATTACAAACCTGCTGTGGATTTAGAATTTGTATATATTACAAGTAATTTGCATAATTAAAACTATTAAGGGACTGACGTATCATGGCAATTAGAAACGCATCAAACTCTGAACGGTGTACAAAAGAGAGAGCTTCAATATGAAACATAATCCTCTGAGAATCAAGCCATGGTGCCCACAGGATGCCCAGCTGGAAGGGCCAGGAGGCAGTGCTTGGGCCCTGGGGGCGACGTTCAAACCAGGAGCCTCCCCTCCCGCGTGGCCTCCCCTCTGTCCTGGCGCTCTCAGTGCTAACCCACATGTCTAACTGCATTTGTCAAACTCATCTCATCTTCCGCAGTCTTAGTCTGTTTTCCTTGTCCCGTTTCTTAAGGATTTGTATGAACTGGTTGAAAAAGTGCTCCTGGTCTTTCCTTTTTTGAACAAGTCGAAACCTCTGATCACGGCCATACTTCTCAGCAAATTCTTTGAAAGTCGTCCTGAAAGAGAAAGATACTCCTAAGACAGGGGGCCCAGCGGGAGTCCTGGTATCACTGAACACTGCAGGCCAGCCCTGGATGACACACACAAGATCCTTCCACCCACAGACTGATGGGTGTGGGGAAAGCTGGGGACACTTGGGCAGCTCTGGGGTTGAAAGGAGCAGCTCTGGGTGATGGACACCTCTGTCCGCACCTGTCCCCTCTTCTAGGGCCCTCTAGCACCCTGACTCAACCTGTAGAGCTCCCCGTCTTGAAATATGATTGAATTCTAAGATGGCCTTGGGCTCACTCCCAGCCACCACCCCAGCCAATCCCTGGCCCAGCTCAGCAGGCCGCCTTCACCCTTCTGCTCTTTCCAGTCTCTCATTGGCCTTTGCACACACCCTTCCCTCTGCCTGGCACACCTTTCCCGTATTTCCTCATGAAGACTACATGTTCAATCAATATGCATTTGATGCACCCAATCTGGACTGGTGGGCCTGACGTCAGAGCGCTGGATCTCTCTCAGCCCTCACCACAGTGGAATCTTACTACCCTATCACTGCAATTCTGCGCAGTTACCTCCTCTCCCTGCCTTGGGCAGAAGCATTATTGTCTGATCCTTTACTGAAGGTCTGGACCCTGGTGCAGGTGTGGAGTCAGCGTTTGACTGGGGAGGGCCATTAAGAAATCTCTCCGGAGGCCAGCCTGGCCAGGCCGAGCTCAGGGCTCCCTCAGAGAGAACACTCCTCTGCTATGACGGATGGGATTCTGCCAGCACCAGACCCCTCACCTGCCTTTCTCTCAGAGTGAACTGGGAGCCAGGAAGAGTGGCTGCCTTCCTGCGACAGATACTGAAGTTCTGGTACCTTCCTGCCCCTTCCCAGGGAGCCCAGAGACTGACCTGAAGGAGGCAGTGGTCCCAGGGGTTTGGACAGTTTATGAGGTGGAAAGTCTTTGTTCAATGGTCCTTGTTATTCCCTCCATTCCTACTCTAATGAACTGTGGATCTCACTGTGGCCATGTCTTTGTGTTTTTAAACTATTATAATTTACTCATTTTTTAAAAATGCATGTGAACACCTATACTAACAAAGCTTCTGGAAAACATGCAGGATCAAGGGGAAACTGGTCCCCAGCCTCTAACTGAGGATCTACAATCCCTGATCCTGGACAGCTCAGAGATGTCCTACCCACCCTGAGCATGGGCTCTCTGAGCACTTCCTGCAGCCTTTCTGCCCCTCCCTCCGCCTCCTGCTTCCCTTCCCTTCTCCCCCCCTCCTCCTCCTGCTCTTTCTTCCTCCTCCTCCTCTCACCTGCCCCTCCTTCCTTCACCCCTCCTTCCTCTCTTCTTCTCTCCCTCCTCACCTCTCCGCCCTCCATTTCTTCCTCCTCCCCTCCCTTCCTTCTCCCCACCCTTCCTCCCTCCATTCCTCAATTTCTCTTAGGCGCCTCCTTGTCCCTCTTTCCTTCTTTTTTAAAATTTTATTTTATACTGGTTTATTTAGAAACATTGTTTTTCACACCAGATCTTTCCTATTTCCTTCACCTCCTCCACCCATCAGACTGTACAACCTGATGCTTAACCTCTTCTTTCCTCCTTTTCCTCCCTCCTTCTCTCCCTTTTCTCCTCTTTCCCTCCCTCACTTCCTCCCTTCTTCCCTCCTCCTTTCTCTCCATCCTTCCCTCCCTTCCTCTATCCTCTCTAACCTTCCCTTCTCCCTGCCTTCCACCTTTCTCAACTTCCCTCCCTCCGCTTTCCTTTCCTACCTCTGTCCTCTCTTCCACCTTCACCTCCACAATTTAGCAATTGTGCCAAGGGAGACACAGCTAACAAATACTTTGTCACGTTTCTACCACTGACTGACATGATATAAACAAACAGAGGCTATTTTGCAACAACTGTGTGGGTCACATCAGAAGCATTTTCAATTCAGGGCTGGAGAGGGCGGCCTTCTAGACACTCTTCAAAGATACGGGCCCTGAAGACGGGGACATGGCCTTCTGTGGCCTGTCATCCCGAGTCACAGCTATTTCAGCCCCTCGCAGGATCTTGGAGTTCACCTGCAAAAGGTCACTGTAGAGAAGGTTCCACCAAGATTAGCTTATCACCAAATCACCCTGCCATTTTTCCCCATTTGGAAAGTATTTTTTTCTTTGACTAGTTGCTGAGGTCTTACAAGGACCATGTATCCAACATAAGTGACCAATTAGTGACCAACTAAGATTAATGATCAAAATATGGACATTTGTGTCTTCATTAAAATGTACTAATTAATGTCTATTTAAAAGATATGGTTGCAACTTCTAATCTAATACAAAATTATAGGAAATGAAATTATTTTTATACTTACTAAAATTATAGTTTTATATTTAAAACAAAAAAAATAGTACCTTTACAAAAACTTAAGTATTTGCCTTTTCCCAATTTCAATCACTTACTGTCCTGTTAGTTTGTTTTTCACGGCAATTACGTCTTATTAGTTTAGGTACGCTTGTCGACTCAGAATGCTCAGTTTAAATGTGCTTGCTGGGCCCAGGTGGAAACCCCAGGAGCCACGCTGGTCAGGTGGTGGGTTTCTTTTGCTCATGTAGTTGTGGTTTGTTTTCCATTTTTACTCATCCTTTTGATCATCAAATCAGAAACAGGACCCTCCTCACCAGGACTTACCTTGATTTGCTATTTAGATCACAAAGTCAGGGATGCTAACATCTTGAAAACTTTGTAAATGAGGGGGAAAGGTTATGGGGCATATGATTAACAAATAGCACCTGGGGAGGGGGAGTCTGAAAGCACACTTAAGGAGACAGAGGTTTCTTTCTGACTGACCCTTAGAAATCACATCCTGATGTCTTCACTGTTGGGCTCCACAATCTAGCAGAAACTGGGTGAAAACTTCGCTTGTGCTCAGTGGAAACATCCCTTACCCAGAAAGCATCTGCTGTGTTTCATTCTCCATACCTGGGTGACACCTTAGATTCCTCTAGAAGCTTTCTGAATTCTTCTTTGGCTAGCAGCAATTTGTTCTTCTTTTCCTTGTATTCTTCTCTTATTCTTGTCTTGACAAACTGCTCAAATATCTTAAAATGCACACATAAAAGAACACTATTACAGAGCTGCCTATCAGAAATGAAATCTTAGCATTCCAAACAGCCCTGGAGATAGGGAGACTCAGAGATAAGGCTCTCGCCTTCACAGCTGCTGAAGCTACAATCTCTAGCCCTTTGACTGTGATGTGGTTTATGGGGCCATGGGGCCCAATCAGTCAGCATGGCGGTGTATCTCCCCACCCAGACATGTTTCAAGGTCAAAGGCAGGTGCACCTTGCCTGGGACACCCTAGGGATGGTCGAGCAGCACTTAGTCGGGGTGCTGCTCACAGGGTGGGAATTCTAGCCTTACATCCACACAAGGTCTCTTTAACCAGAGCTCTGGGCTCACTGTTGACCCATAGGCTGTGTCCCCATGGGGTCCTAATCCACCAGCCACTGTAACAGGGAATTGTGGGCAATCTCCTGGGTGACTCCAAGTGTTGGGGATCCAACCCAGCATCAGCTCTGAATGGTTTCTGACTCAAAAGCAACTCAATTGAAACGTCTCAACTCCTTGTCATGGAGTTGGAACCACTCCTATCTGACTGACCCTTGGTGGGTCTTCAGGGCCCTTAAATTACATGGGAGGAGACCGCTGAATAGCTAGTGGAGTCAAACTGCCTGCAATTAGTTTTACTTCCCCCTGGACCCACGACTGTTCATTCTTGTCAGATCCACAGCTGAGAATCTTCATTTCTATATCAGATACAGAGAGTTCTGGTGGCTTAGTGGTAAGGAATTGTGCTATGGGGTGTCAGAAGCCTCAAGTTGGCTTTTCAAACTATTGTGTTAGCCCCCTCTGGGGGGAATGATCTCCAGCTGCTTTAACTGTGGACTCACGGGCTTGCAAATTATCAATAGTTGTGGGACCTATATAAGAGAGTGCTTTCCACCCTGTAAAAAAAAAATTAAATATATATATATATATGGTGATGGTGGAGGAGAGATAGGGAAGAGACCGTGGCACTGCTATGAAGAGACTGTGGCAAAGAGTAACCAGAGGAACCCTGGAGATAAATGCCACAGTTAGAGGTTTCACTTGCTGGGTGACTGACTGGAGAAGCAGCTGACTTATAACTGCTCTGAGGTGAAGCGCTGGCTGATTGAGGAAACGAGGCTTCTTGCAATCGTGCTGCTAAACTGAACCTGGGCTTTCACTAACTCAGGGATTGTGTCGTTCTGTGGATCTGGCTTGGCACTGTTAGATTAAACCTGAAGTTCTTTCCTTACTCCTCAACCGATTTCCCTAATAAACCCCCAAAATGTGAGTCAAGTCTGTGCGTCAAGTTACAGTGCATATTACACCCAGCGACTGGTAAGGATAAGGGGGTGGCAGGTCTGGCTGCTTAGATATTTGTTTGCTATGATGGATATTATTGATGGGGACAGTTTCACTTTATGAAGTGGGCAGAAGTCAGTCTCGGCCACCCTCATGTCATATTGGCTTTTTTTGCATGTTGTCAATGCAAAGGTATGTGGTTTGAAGCTGCCAGTTTGCACATGTGCTCTTGGACACCAGCATTCAGTACAGCAAAGACCTCTTCTCAACAGTTCATAGAACACTCCTCTTTGTTGTCAGTTTGGGAAAATCCAGGAAGTACATCACTTAAAATCTCAAACTAGCATAGGGGCTGTTTATTCCCCAAGCCTCTCTACACTACAATAACGATGAACATCCTGAGATATGTAAACACACATGAACAGATCAGTTCCAGTTTCCCCTTTGATTCTATAAGGTTGATAAGTATTCATTCTGAACATTCTGAATCAACCCAAAAAAATAACAACTGCAGAAGAATTAGGAGGTAGCCTGGGAACTAGAGACTCGTCTCATCTCTAAGTTATCCACCAAGTAGATGAAAACGGTATACAGAAGGCAGATCAGTTGAATCACTAGTGTGTACGAGGCGTTCTTTAGGCTCTGTCATATTATTTCAAACACCTTTTCAGTAATGGCAAACTGTTACCAGGTTACAGATACAAAATGCTTCTCACCTTCTGAAGACCCAACAGCAAATTGGGATATTAAGGGCTATAGCATACATTCAGATTGTGTGCATATACACTTAAGACCGTGACGAGCTTTCTTCACCTTCAAGGCAAATACTAAAGCAAGCCCATAAGTCGTCTTATAATTTAAACTCATAAAAGAGGTGAGAGCAAGGTTATTATCCAAATAAAAGCTGTGGCACCATCATTACTCAGAGTCTTGCTCTATTAATTTTAAATCTTGATTGAAACTCTGCTTGCTGTGGGGTCAGAACTTGAAAGAAATATCCATTGATGCTTCTGCCTAGAACCACCTGTCCATTCAATTATTTTTTCTCTTCTTTCCTTTTGCTCTGTTGCACAGTCTATGAAGTTATAATTGAATGTAATAGCAGTGGGGAAGCTTTCCTTTTTCTTTCTTTTTTTTTTTTTTTAAATAAGTACTATCTCTCTCCAAAGTAGGACATTCCATGACTCTTTAAAAAGATACTTTTGGGTATGCCCTCATTATGACATTTTCTGATAGAGTAAAATGGAATGCTATTTGTTCTCATGAAACCAGACTCATTAGAATTCTGTGGCCCCTAAGTTTGCAGATCCCTGGGGGAGGCACCGATGCCGTTTTAGCACCAAAAGTCTTAGCTTTTCCCACAGCATACGCTGTGATAGTCGGTCCCAGGCGATTCCATGCTTAGACCCTGATCTCTGGCTGGTGCCAAGCGCAGCCAGAGCGCGCCTGGAAGCAAAATGAGACCTTCTCTCACATCTTCTGGGTATTTTATTAGGATGAGTCTGACTTTGACAAAAGGATTTCATGCTTGGAAAGTAGTGGGTCAGTGAAAGAGCAGGAGATTCTCAATTAAATGGATTGGCATCGAGACTACAGTAATGGGCTTACGCTCCGCAAACAGTGAGAACGGTGCTGCGTGGAACTGAATTCCATCCTTTATGTGCAGGGCCCGTGAGTCAAAGTCAGCGTGGTGGCAACTAACAAAAACAACTCCTCCTTTAACATATCAACAAGGCTGTGTTTTATGGACAGGCACCAAATATTGTTTCTTTTATCAGTTCAACTTCAGTGATGCTACCTATGAAACTCCAAGTGCTCTTCTTGGATTCATATTTGGTTTCTCTTACAAAGAACCCCTAGGTGGTGCAAACACTTGATGCTCTCTGTTGCTGTCCTGAAGGTTAGATGGTTCGAGTCCCTCCAGCATTGACTTGAGTTAGCAATTAGTTTTTGTTTCCCCAAAATACATACAGTCACACAAAACTATGTAATGATTCCCCCTGGGCTGATAAGCCAAAGAACTGTAGGAGGACTAAGGGTGGAAGGCAACACCCCCTAATTCCATCACAGCCCTAGGCAGACATATGCGGGGTTCCTCTAGGGTGTTGTCATTCATACATCTGTCTCACTCAAGATAAAAGAAGCAGAAAGAAAGAAGAGAGGGGTGTTTCAGTACCACCCAAAATCATCCCCAGGAGTGCAGTGCCTCAAGCGGATCTGGAAGAAGCTCCAGGGAAGGCCAAGGCAGGCAGAGGGCTCCAGGAAGTACAGGGCCTGCAGATGTTAAAGGAAACAAGGGCTTTCTTCCACAAGCGACAGAGGCCTCCCTAGAGCTGGCGGCCTGAATTTGGTCTTCTAGCCTCCTAAAAGGATGAATTAAGGCTTTTGAAGTCGTTCCATCTGCGGTGTCTCTGTCACAGGAGCGCTCAAGGACCAAGACACCAGGTGAGTCCAGACGATCGCCTCCTGAGAAGCCGGCTGTTGACAGCTCTGCTTGGAGACACACGGCGTGTCATGAGGCTGGGCTGACTCTGGCAGTTGGTGCTGTGTGTGGTTCTCTTCCAGACGCGGCAGTGAACTCAGATGTGCTCCGGATGGTGACACGGACGCACCAGCTACCAGTGGAGAGGGCTCCTATTCCTTCCTCAGAGGCGCATCCATGGTGTAACACGTTAACGCCGGATTGGCAGATCTTTGACGACCACACAGGGCTGTCTGGGGCTGGTGGTGCGGGGGAGTGGATGCTACAGCCTACGCTCCACCTGCAGGGGCCTTGTCGGGCGATGTGGGCTTGTCCGACATCTCTGCCAATGCCGGCTTATCCTGTCTCACTAGACCCATCCTTCGAGGAACCACCATGTCCAACAAAGTCCCAGAGGCCATTCATGTTTCATCCGTGTGAGAGACCAGTTCAGAGGAGTCCATTTAGCATTTTGTATCCTGGTCGGTCTCATCTCCAGGGACACAGGTGTCACTGTCACAACCAAATGAAATTCATGAGCGACCACATCACACTCTGGAACATTCTTTAGTAGCTGGAGGCGAGGTTTTCTTAAATGTCCTCTAGGTCACAGCTGGGTAGATAACCATATTGCTGACACAAAACCACCAGAGCAAGTCCAATCTATGCGTTTGCTGTTCGTTACTAGACGTGAGTCAGTCTGCAGCTCTTCATCACGACCCACACAGTGAGGTCCTGTCGGCGAGAGAGGCTCTCAGCAGGGCGGGGACAGAGCTCTCATGCACGTGGATCTCTTACTGTGTGTTCTCATGGTCGAACACTTCGCTTTTTACTATTTCAAGAAAGAGAAAATTCTACCTATTACTATTGTGTACAGTATTTCTCAATGTCAGGAAGCAAAACAAAACAAAACAACACCATCAAATGATCATGCCAAGCTAACTGATTCTATGGTGATGTTATTTAGAGTCATTGCTAACACGTCTCACATGTTTTCAAATGCTTCTTTCTGGAAAATGAACTCGACTAGAAACACAAATAACTGATTTCAATTTCCTGGGAAATGAAAATACTTTTTCCTTAACATGGCCAAGTCCAGTGACTTCAGTACACCCCCAGAGCCCTACCACTGGGCCTCTTGTGATGAGTTTATAATTCCCAGGGATGCAGTTCCACAGACTCAGGGACCATGTTTAAGGTGACCCTTCAGTGTTCCTATATTGACACCTAAAACCCCAAAACTAAAACTCCTGCCATCAAATCAATTCTGACTCACAGTGTCCCCACATGATACAGAGTGACCCTGCCTCCGAGTGTTCCTGGCTGTAAAGTTAAAAGAATGAGATCACCAAGATGTCCTTCTGTGGTGCTGCTGGGTGGATTCGAACCACCAACACTTAGGGGAGTAGCCAAGGGCAAACCATTTGTGCCACCGTATGTTAGCAGGAACTTCAAAGCAGTGACCATCACACAGAACGGCCCGGAGGCAGTGATCTTTACAGAAGTCGATCGCTGGGCCCTGTCTTGCTCCTGTGGTGGGTGTGTGTCGACCTTTCAGTCAAGTCCCGAATCTCTGCGCCACCAGGGCTCCTCAAATTGAGACTATGGAAGTACTTGATGAGGGGAACTCTCTGTGGCTCCGTGACAAGGGGCGGAACTGCCAATCAAATCCACCCGCTGCTCGGAGAGGAAGGTCAGCAGTGTTCTGTGGGAGTTACAGCGTTGGGAAAACCGTGGGAGAATCAGCTCTGAGCTGGCTCTCACCAGACAGTACCTCCCACAGCCTCAAGCACCCGACCAAGGGGCCCTCCTCTCTAACGCAGCCCTGGACTCTCATTCTCATTGTCACTCTCCAGAGTCATTTCTGCAGCAGACTGCAGACAGGAGACAGCACTCACACATGGGGGCTGATTGGGACCGGACTCGACTGAGTCTGGATCTTCCAGAACTTGCCAGAGGCTCTTCACGGTGTGCGGTCCATAAAGCCTCTGACCCAAGCTGGGCAGACACCAGCTACACCCTCATGATGCCCTGGGTCCCTTTCCAGATGACAGAGTTTGCCCCTCTGCCTATCCCTTCATCTGGGAGACCGTGCTGTGAATCAGGCCAGGGAGACCCACAAGGCTGTCCGTAAACCAGCATCAGGCAGGTCACCGCTGGTCCCTTCCTTGTCTGCAAGAAACTGCTTTCTCAACACCCACCCTCTAGTTAGGGTGCTAATGTTCTCTCGACTCTCCCATTTCTAGTCTCGTAAGGCCCTTTGTCTTTTCTGTCTGATCACTCAGAACACGGTTAATGTTCTCGCAATGTGCTCAGATATCACAGCTTATGACAAGGTTCTGTTCCAGTAACTCCATCGCATGTCAGTTCTGATGTAAGGCAGGACTTACTATTTTTGTTGATTTTTTTATTTTTCATTCTATTTTATTATCAATATCTTTAGGAAATATAATCTTTCTTTTTCTTTAAAAGTTATGAACATTACATTTAAATTTACAGGTACATTTTAATGCACAAATACATATTACTAACAATAAGATGTATTTAAAAACTCACAGAAAACAACAAAATCCCAAAATATCATAAGTACAGTTTGTTCTAATTTGAACACATCTTAAATGGGAGACTATCTGAATTTTCATCTTGGAATGAAATAGTTGGCTGTGGGATCATGTTAAGAGCTAGTTAAGAACAGTCAGTTGGATAACCTTCCCTGATCCTGTTACTGTTATTGTTCTATTCATAAACCAGAATCCTGAATCTACTATCCCATCCCGCTACAGAAATAAATATAAAGCATGTTCTCATCAGCAGTGAAGTGTTGCTTCAGCCCACATCCACAGCCCACCACTTCTCCCACTTCAGAATTACCTGCTTCCTCTCCTCCGAGTTCAGCAGGAGATAGCGAGGGTCAAACACAATTTTGTGTAATTCTTTCTCCCAGGTAGAAAACGCTGACACCTGAAGAAAGATATTCAATAGAGTTGCTGTTAGCATCCAGTGCCGAGCCCAGAATTGCGATGAAATGATCAATGGTCAAAGCGGCATTAAGACACAATGGACTCGGCGATGCACTGTTGTGCAGAAGTGTTGGGCACGTCAAAGTCTCTCCGAGAATCAATACTTAGAACATTAGAAAATTTAATTCTGGACACATAACACTATTTCTTCCTTGGTTATCTTCCAGGGCCACGTACCCCTGACCTGGAGACCTAATTACAGGGGTGGAGGTGAGGTGTTCTGGAATGTCACATCTTGAAAAAAGAAATTTTTTTTCCCTAAAAACCATTTGGAACCTAGTAGGCCACCACAGAAAGCAGCGCCTCACAAAGAGGCTGGTTTAGCGTCATTTTAGCTGCCTTTTAACGAGCAGTTAAATGCTGTTTAGGTGTTCCATTGACCAAAACAAACCATATTCTTTTACAATAGTTTCAGACTTTAGAGATATTACAGAATTATTTGCATGCCAGATCGCCAGCTCCCCATATTTCTAACATCTGACAGTGTAGGCTTACTTGTTGACTTCACATAACAACAACAACAACAACAACACACTTGTCATAACTAATAAACTAAGCTGATGAATTAGCATTAGCCAACCTTCCTTCTTACTCCAATTCCCTTCTTTTCACCTAATCCCCCTTCTGTTTCAGGGACCTCACAGAACATTTAGTATTCAAGTCTCTGAGATGCCTCTGCACTGGGGCAACTCTCAGACTGTCCTCATCTCTGATGCCCTTGGCTGTTCGAGGCGAGCTGGGCAGGTATTTAACAGAGTGCCTCTCAGCTGGAACTGTTCCCGCGGTTCCCTCATATTCTCACACTGTCTGCACTGAGGTGGTGGGGCTCTGGAGAGGCAGCGACCACACAAGGGTTGAACCCTCCTCACTGCTTTGCAGCCAAGTGCCATGCCATCATCAGGGCTTGTCCTGAAGACGCTGACCGATGAGTCTCTCATGGTGAAGTTATTCTGCCCTTTCTCCACTGGATTCACGGGAAGGGAACACGGCCCAGCTCTCACTTTAGGGGTGGGAGTGAGACCACCCTTTCCTGAGTGTGGAGCATCCATGGATGTTGTCTTAGAGTCTGTTGGGTGAGGGATTTGTCTGTTCTGTCCCACATATTCAGTTCCTTATCTAGATCAATGTGGACTCGAGGACACTGGCGTTCTCCTTGGACATGGCGCTCCATATTTCTATATTAGGTTGGGGTGTAGATTCCTCAGCTTAGGCCACAGGTGCTCTCGTACCTGACTTTCTCTTGAGCTCTTCTGATGGGGCCTGATCCTTCAGTTAAGTTACTTGGGTGTGTCCTTACCTTCTGCTACTACAAGATGCCCAGGCCCTAGAATCAGCCACACCTCAAAGGAGCCCCTGTACTGGGGAAGAGGATGTGTCCATTACCCGTGACATGAGGTGCTTCTGGGCTCCCTCAGCTGACCAACCACAGGACTATTTAGGCCATTTAAAGCCACAGACTAAATACAGGCTTTGCATTTGCCCCACACTCAGGGTCTCAGAGAAAGTAAAGCAAGTTCCAGCATCAGGTGGCATGTGGTCTCGAAGGGCAGGCAATCCTGGGACTCCTGAGAGGACACGGTGAACCTCCCTGAGAGACACTTGGGAGCTGAAGACTCACAGACGCCAGTCTAGGGAGCAATCTCCAGCACTGACCATTGAGTGAGTTTCGGAGCACGGACACAGGTCCTCTGACTTGATGGAGCTGTGTGGGACATTTCAAGATAGGCTCACTCTCCATGACTGCTAGGGTGGGACCCTGAAGCTGAGGGGGTGTGGGAGCTGATGGGCGTGGCATGAATGTTGGGGTTCACGTGGGTGAAAAGGCTGAGACTCTTGAACAGGGGTGTACAGGACCTAAAAGAATGAATATGATTGTTGGGGATGAGGGAGCCGGTGGACAGGCCAAGACAGAGGGAGAGACAGGCGCCCAAGATGCCTTGAAAGGCCTGCCTTAGAGAGCAAAGGAGGGGAAGACCACTTGGCGAAGCAGAAAAAGGATCCCTGGGTCCGAGTTGGGAAGAGGGTAAGGAGGGCAGGGTTTGAGGGAAGGCTGAAGAATGTGAGGGCTGTGGGGGAGGGGGAGGAAGGCAGGTGGGAGAAGGGGACTCTTCCACACCCAGGCAAGTGGTGACAGGGTCTCTGTTGGTTCCTGTTCTCCTTTGCATGTGTATCTCAGCCTCCTGGGTGGCTGGGGTAGAACCACAGCGATGGCTCATGGCTTGGAAAGCTGGGCCTGAATCAGGGTGTGGGCCTCACAGGGTCCCCCAGAGGCTCTGAGGGTGAGGTTGGGATGAGGCCCTGTCCTGCCTCTCTAGCTCCTGGTGACCCCTTGGTGTTTCTTGGTGCTATAACTCCAATCCTGCTCTGTCTTCACAGGGACGTCTTCCCTGTGCGCCTCTCTTCTAAGGGACGCCAAGCAAGCAGGATGGGGACACACACACTAACCTATGTGGTAACATTTCCAGAAACCCTCTTCCTAGGCATCATGCCAGATACTGTGGGGGGACAGGACCACCACGCCCATCTGGGGATACCAATCCTTGGGGGTCACTTTGCATCTTCCTTCTTGTTCCCCTTCTTACACTCTTTCCACTGTCCAGGGTCACGTGCACAGGTGAATGTGCATACACCTTTTGGTGGCCTAGTAGTAAGAACTGCTCCAATCCCAAAGGCACACTGTTCAAATCCACCTGCTTTTCCACGGGAGAAGGATGGCCAGTGTCCCCCGCGCAATGCACTGCTTCTGAAAACCTGCTCAGGGTCAGCTATGGGTCAGTTTAGACTTGACAGACACAACAAAAATCTTCAACCCACACCCAGGCACGCTGCTGCGCTGAGGTTAGAACCACGAGGATGAGAGGCCCAGGCAGACAAGGAGACTCCTAAAGGGGGCCGTGTGCCAGGACCAGTCCCCACGCTCATGGAGTCGGGTTGGGTTGGGGTTCTCCTCCTGGTCCCCTCACTGACAGCTTCTCCTCGCTGAGCCCTCTCTTCATGGCCTCTCCCAGCACCGGCTGTGGACGAATGGACGCCACACTTCTCTTCTGCCTTCTCTCACCTCTCCTGTTTACTGATGGCCCCAGCAAGCGGAAGGAGAGTTCTCTCTCACCTGAGTGGAGGGCACCGGAGCCACACTGGCACTGAGACTTGGGGCAGGTGAAAGGGACAGGGACAGGCATCCCTGTAGTCTCCCAAAAGTGACCACAGCTATTTGTTGACCTCTGCTGGCAGAACCAGCTGGTTTCTGAGGAAAGCCCTGTGCACCCAGAACTGGCATCATGAGGAATCCTGGGAGATGAGGGGGAGCCCGGCAGTAGGACACTGGGCTCAGGCAGGTCAGGGGACAGCTGGGGGTGTGCGTGGTCTGTGGACCTCTCTTTCCAACACAGATGCTGTTCGAAGCTCCACGTACTGCTGTCCTGTGGCCGACCGCCGACTGCTGGAGAGTCAGACAACTGCCCGCAGGCGGCTCCCGAGAGGACAGCAGGCCACGGCACTCAGTTCCAGACTCGCGCTCTCAGGAAGGACGCCCGTGGCTCGCCCCAGGGTCACCGTACCAACGACCAGGGGTTGCTTTCTAGAAGGAGGCTGTTCTAAGTAAAATCTGTCTGATTCCTAACTCTAAATCAACCCAAACCCACTCCTGGGAGGTCTGTTTCCAACTTCCCGGGCCCCAGAGGACACTGAAGAGCTGCCCTGCGGGGCTCCCACACCTCTGCATCACCACGGGGCCATGCAGCCTCGGCGTCTTCCTCTGAGTGACCGGTGGATTGAACGGCTGACCTTTGGTAAGCACATTCTTTAACCACTAAATTAACCCCAGACCTGGCCCACTGTCATCGAGCCCAGGTAGACTCCCTGCCACGCTCCAGGGGTCCCTCACGCTGCCACTCTGAGGTGGGCTGATGAATCGGGCTGTTTATGATCTGACCCCTCGTAGGCCGGTGTGTCAGGAAGCTTCACTGCAGCTTGTAATAAAGAGAAGCCAAGTCAACACTCCCACTGAGCAGAGGAGCTGCAAAGCCACAAAACCACAGCTGCCCCTGCCCAGGGCCCAGAGCCCATGGGGCTCTCCAGAACACATCCTTTTACGCTCCCAAATAGTCCTGGACCCCAACTGTGTCCTTCCAGGAGTACTTGAATGGCCAAGCTGAAGAAGGAGCAAATAAATGCCTTCAATACAACATGGCCCAGGCCTATCCCACCCTCGCCTTGCTGCCTGTGAGGGTTTTCTCCCCGAATTCTCATGCCACCCGTGACACCATGAGCTGACTGGCTTCACACACTCGGAGGCCCAGCAGCGGTCACTGCTTCTTCCCCTGTTCCTCAGTTCTGATGGGCTTTCTATTAATGAGCTGGACAAGTGCTCCCCTGACCCTCCGAGCATGGGGTTGAGGTTCACTCTGTCTTTATTGCCCAGAGTGAAAGTGGAACATTGACTTTGGAGCCTCCCATCTTCTGTCCTTTCTGCTGATCCTCATGTAAGAAAGTCTAAGACTCAGAGGCTGGCAGGAGGCACATACCCTCCAGAGGCAAGCCTGTGTGGAAAATCTCGTTAGTGAATGCTCTCAGGCATGGCCACTGGACAGGCACCAATGGCATGGACAGCAGCCCCTTGAGTCTGGCTGGCGAGGATGGGACGGTCCCCCACAATGCCAATCCCCCGGCTCCCTGGGTTAATGCAGAGCCAGTAAATTGGGCCTGGCTTCCAACCTAAAAAGCTGAGAAACTCGCTGCTAATGAAATGCAATGGATTTTTGCTTGTATTCCTCAGATATAATAAGACCCCCGGTCTCAGAGAAGATGGACTGCACTGCCACATGCATATTCTGCTGGAAGGGGAGGTGAGGTGTGTCTAGAAATGAAACGACTCCAACACCACGGGGACACTTCGACTTGCAGCTGCCTGACAGACACAGGAGAATTTTCTCCCAGGGATTAGCAAGGAGCTATTAGATCTGAGACACCGTCGTGTCCAGAGGAGGGCCACGTGGGGGAGATGAGAGAGAGAGAGAGAGACGGAAAGAGAGAGAGAGAGAGACAGAGAGAGAGAGAGAGACAGAGCGAGAGCAAGAGCGAGAGAGCGATACATACTTGCATGCGTGTGACACGGATGTGTGCATCTGTATGAGGATGTGTGCACGCCTATGTAAACGTGGACTTGCGTTTCTGTGAGAAGCATGGATGCACGTATGTGACTGCATGTGAATGTGAGTGCGTACACACACGTGTAAGAGTGCATGGTGTGTGGAAGAGTGTATGAGTACACACACACGTGTAACTGTGTGGTCATGTGCATGTGTGTGAATGTGTTCATGCATGGGTTTGTGTAAACCTGTACACGTGTGAGTGTGCAGATGTAAGGGTATACGAGTGTGTGCCTGCACACGTGTGCAATGTGTAGCAGTGTGTGCTCTTGTATGTACGGCTGTGTGTGGATACGTGTGTACACATGTGCATGTGTGTATACATGTGTGTACACCTGCGTCTGAATGTATGCATGTACGTGTGTGTGTGTGCGCGCGCACCTGCATGAGTGTACGGGAGCACCTGACCCCTTGCTGCATTCTCTGTTACTGGCTCACATGTGAACTCAGCTTTACCACATTGTAGTTTTGAGGTTCTGAGTCTATCTCCCCTCCTCCCTCCTCCGGTCCCGGCTGTGCTTTAATTCTGGGTGAATGGCTAAAGTCATGGAGGGAGGCACATTAACATTCATGGTGTGACACGGGCGCACCTGTGTGCTAGATGCAGCCAGGCCATGTGCATGCTGCAGGCCGTGTGCATGCTGCACCTTGGCTCTGGGCCAGTCCGCTCTGGACACGTGGGGTCCTCACAGTCTTCCCTAGCCTCCTTCTTAGCCTCCCCCAGGCCCCACATCCCACCTAAACCCACTGTTGCAGCAGCAATCCTCACGCAGGGCCAGGAGAAAGCCTAGGGTTGGGGGGAGCGGATGGCTGGGAGGGAATTTGCTCTTGAATCGTGAGGCCATTTAAAGCATTATAATCATTACCATCTCGTGGAGGGTCCCATTACCACCTCTGCAGCGACTCTCATTTTGCACGGAAATCCAACTGAGCTAAAATATTGTATGTGCTCATTTTATGCCCAAAAGCCAAAGCAAGAAATAAAACTCATTGGAAGGAGATAGGACTTAAGAGACTGGGGAATGTCAGCCGTGGCCATGAACGCTGGAAGGTCTGGGAAGTCAGATCTGACTCATAGTCCAACAGAGCAGACCCCACCCAGCACAGCATCCTCACAGTGACCCCCGCCCAGCCACAGCGTCTACAGTGTCCTCACAACCCTGCTGGGGGCGGAGCCCAGCACTGTAATCACTGTGTCACAGTGACCCCCCCACCCCACCACCACCCCCGCACAGCCACAGCATCTACAGTGTCCTCACAGCTCTGCTGGGGGGCGAGCCCAGCGCTATAATCACTCTGTCACAGTGACCGCCCACCCCACCCCCACTCAGCCAGAGTGTCCTGCCAAGAACAGTCATCTCACTTTTTTCTCAGCCCCCTAACTGCCATCCAGGTTCTCTAACTTGTGAGGGAAGAGCTGGAGTTTTTGTGGGCATGGAACTCCCTCCAGGGGTGAGGTACTTTTCTAGAGCAGGAACACTGCCCCCTAACAAGTCCCTTGGGGTAAACACAGCACATTCAACTCTTTCCTGAAAGTCTGGAGGTTCAAGATCACTCAGAGGTCCCTGGAAGAAAGGCCTGACGATCCACACGGGAAGGGAAACACTGGAGTGTGGTCCCACCTGACACACAGACACCAGGAGTGGGTGCAGCTACAACACCTGTCTCAGGTTTGGGGTTTATGCTGTGAGCTGGGCTGGGCTGGCTTCAGGTCAACACAGGAGGACCCCATGATCCCTCCCTCCGTCCCTTCTGGGCAGACAGGCTCACGCGTACTGACCACAGCACCACATACAGGAAGCCCTCCGTGCACATCTACTGCTACCTCAGCCCACTCAGCTCCTTCTCACGCTCCTTCCCCTGCGGCCACAGTCCCCAGATTGCCAAGTGCCTCTCAGCTAGACTTCCTGGACAATCAACAGTGTGTCCCATGGTGGACAGGGCTGCAGGCAGGACAGTTCTCTGAGGGGAGTATGCATGTTCTCACGCCCACATGGCCCGAGCACCCCCTTACCCCTCTCTCCAGGAGCATGTCCCGGAAATGTGTCACCCTCTCTTCCAGGGGCAGGAGGATCTGGGGGGGCGGGGTCTTAGTGGCTCTGTCCTCTCTGGCCACTTCCTCTGGCTCTGAACTCTCGTGGCCTTCCGTCCTGAGGGGCATAGACACAGACAGTTAGTTCACCTGTGGAGAGCTGACGTTCAAACCACTCAGTGCATGACGCGTCTCTGAAAGGCCGTTCTAAGCTTGTGGTGCCCACGGTGCAGGCAGGGGCTCTCTCGGTGCTGAGGACACATCCTGGGGATGCGGACACTCGTGTTCGTGGGCAGCGTATGAGACTACCGCCCCCAAAGCACCGCCCTCTTCTGTGAGTAGAATTAGATGGAGTGTGGAACTGGGGTGCACAGAGCCCCAGAACCAGACACCCACAGTTACAGTTCCTCTCGGGGAGGCTTTTGTTTGGAAAGATATGGAGAATTCAGACACCCAACGTGAGGCAAACATTGACTGGATTCTGACCCAAAGGGAGGCTTAGCCATGGAAAGGGGCTCGGATGCTGCCTGGGGGCTGTGCATAGGCACCCAGCCCCAATCATGGCCCAGGACACCAGGGCTGCCCACTGGGTCACACAGAAGCCTGCCAATGGCCTTTGGGATGAAGGACATCAAGAGTCCCCACATCCACCTACCAGAGAGGATGGGGCCAATGAGTAAAAGCGGGAATAGCCCAAGTCAGACGGTCACTAAGTAACCGGGATGAGGTGATCACCCCTGTCACTGGTGTGCCCCCGGCATTGCAGAACCATGGGAGGCACCATCGTAGGCTGTGCTGAGAATCTGTAATAATCTATGTCTAATAAGGGGCACACACAGGGGTATAAGCAGGATTACTCTCAGCTCATCCAAAGTGTGCAAGAAAAAAATTGTTTGTTTGCCCCATTTGTTGTTGTGATGTGTCCTCAAGTTGTCTGTGACTCCTAGAGACCCGGTTACAATATCTCTGAAGTCTGCCCTGTCCTGAGCCAGTCTCACTGACTCCAATACACCTACTCCCATTGCCCCAGTTACCATATCAATTCATCTCATCTCTTCCTCTCCTACATTGTCCCTCCACCCTTCTGGGCATGATATCCTTCAAGGACTGGTCCCTCCTGGCCACGTGCCCAAAGTATGTGAGATGGAGCTTCAAAATCTAGCCTCCAAGGAGAGAGTTGGTTTCACCCTCTACAAGATAGACTTGTTTGTTTTCTTGGCAGTCCATGGTATGTTCAAGACTCTTCTCCAGCACCACAACACAAAGGCATAGATTCGTCTTCTATCATCCTCCGTCACTGTCAAGCCCTCTGATGAACAGCAAGTAATTGTGAAGACCATGGCCTGGATCAGGAGCATCTTAGTCTCTAGACTGACATCGTTGCTTCTCAGTACTCTAGAGAGATCTCTCATAGCAGATTCCCCAATGCAATTCATCTCCTGATTTCCTGACTGCTGGTGCCAAGAGTGTTGATTGTGATGTCAAGCAAGCTGTAATTAATAATAACTTCAGTCTCTTCTCCATCTATCATGACACTACCAATTGGTCCAGTGGTGAGAAATATTTGTCTTCTTGATGTTGAGCTTCAATCCATATTGAAGACTACAGAATCCCAGAACACTAGACTTTGACCAGAAAGCAGTCCTCAGAACAAAGCAAGGAAACACTGCATGATTCAAAATCAGGAAAGGGTTGTGTCCTGTCTCCGTACCTTTTCAATCTATATGCAGAACAGCACATTGGGCAGGCTGGGTTCTATGAGGAGGAATGTGGCATCAGGATAGGAGGAAGACTCATCAACAACCTGTATGATGCAGATGGCACAACCTTGTTTGCTCACCCTTTAGGGGATTTTATTTATAGACCTACTATTTTAGGGGACTGTTCTTTCTTAGCTTCTTGGGAGATTATGCAGAATTTTGTAAAAAGAAAAACTATCAGTGGGCTTGCGATTGTGTCATATTGTAAAGGGTATAATTAGAATTTCTTTGTAACAGTTTTTCATTAGTTAAAAATAGAGGTGTGAAAACAAGGCCCACATTGTTGTAATGAGAAATAAGATTAATAGGAGCTTTGTGAGCTGGGTGATGATACCACATTCAGGCTTATTCAACAAAATATTTTGCTCAAACTTCTGAATACCTTCCAAGTATCCAGTGTACCTTCCAGGTTCCCCATTTGATCAGAATCGGTCAAAAGAAAATACGTCTATTTCATGATAATCTTGTGCCTCAATGATTTCTGCACCTTTAACAGAAAGCAACCACAGCTTTTAATTAACCAGCTGGAAGTGAAGTTTTGCCAAGGTTGAGAGGCAGCTTCCTGAAGGCGTGCTAGCCAGGTATCCACAAGCCATGCCAGATGTGGGTTGGGGAAACTTCCTTCCTGGAAAAGGGCCTGTGTAAGGCGCCACAGAGAGCTGCAGGTGCAGAAGGAGGGGTGTCTCCCAGAAGAGCCATAGATCCCGCAAACCCTCTGGCCTCATTTTTCACTAAATAAGCGTTCAGATCAGATGATCTTGAAATGCCCGTGATGTAAAGCTTCCATGAGTCACACGCCGACTTGTTAATTTCCTCCTGTTGAAATATTTAAGCCTCTTGATCTGTCATCAATGTACTAGCTCTGACTCTCAATTTTGTGCCCCTATAAATTTGACAAATATACCCCCTGTGTCTCCGTCCAAGCTCATAAAAACATTTGGCCAGAAATGCCAGTGTAGAAGTTTCTGGAAGTGTCATCAGGGGCCACTCTGCACACAGAGCTTCTCATCCGAGGTGGATGTTAGGCATGGTGGGCAGGGCTCTGCCACCCAGCAGAGGCCCCCAAGGCTGGTACGCTGTCTCTGTCTGCCAAGCCATTTGAGATCTTTGTGACAGCCAGCCAGCAAGGCCACTTCTGGGGACTGCCATTCATGGTGGCTTCCAGAGGCTGTGAAGATCCTCGTGCGTGTGGACGGGGGCTTGGGGATGTTTTGTTTACAAGAGACCCACCTGATTTGCCTGTTGCGGTCCTGACCCTGGCCCCCATCCTGTAAGCCCTCCACTCTCCTGGCCTGCCTGGGTCCAGTTTCCTGGGCACAGAGCCCTGCGGACATCTCTGCTTCACCCAAGGATTAGCTGTCACCCACCACCATGCTCTGCCCTCTGTGCAAGCCTCCCTTCAGATAGCTAGCACCGGTGCAAGCAAGACCAAACAGCCTGAGGGGCCAAGCTCAGTTCAGTTAAGCAATGTTGATGGTGGGCTAATGGCCACAGAGGACTGTTCTTTGTTCTGGCCACCCCTGGGGTGGTACCCTGCCCTCTACACGCAGGCAGCCTGCTCTGGCCCTGTGACCGTCCATGCTCTCTCTGGACCAGCCCTTCCCTGGACAGGCAGGCTTGGCAGAGGATACTCCCTCCACCATGACCACGTCTCCTAGCGGTCATCCGCCTGCCTGTGCCAATCACCCCACCACGGAGGCTGGACTCTCTGCCCTCCAGGACCTGCCCACATGCACTCCTTTGCCTCTGGCTCTGTCCTGCAGGTCCCTCCTCCCTCTGACCATACATGGACTCTTCGTCCTTGTGACCCCACCTCCAGGTGATCCTCCTTCGGGCTCTGTACACCAGGTTCTTCCACCCATCACCTTGTCTATCAGCTTCTCCCTGCTCTGTGGCTTCACCCACAGGTTCTGCCCGCCACTCTGGCCACCCCACCTACAAACCAGGCTCTCCTTCGAGCACCTTCCAGGTCCCTCTTCTCCCATGGTCCTCCTGGGCTCAGTGGGGAGATCAGAGTGGTAATCCCCTAACCCTGTGGGTTACTACATTTTCCTCTCTCTGGAATCTTGGAGCTGGGGACACTCAGGCTCTGGTTAAGGAGCCCCTTCTGATCTTCTGTCCACTCCCGTGGGGGCCTTGAGAATGCACAGCTGGGTTCATTCGTGATACTCTGCCGCGCCAAACACTGTACTCGGTTCCCAATGAGCAGGGAAGAATGCTGTTCAATCTGATCCAACGTCCCATCTGTTCCTGGGGCTTCCCGGGAAGGCACAGTGGATGCAGCTGGACTGGTCTCTTTCTGAAGGGGCAGCTGCTGTGGGTGTTCCCTCCCTTATGTGCATATGGGACCCAGCAGGCCAGTCCCTCCTTCATCCCTGATTCTTAGACAACTTGACTGCCATGTAATTATCAATTCGATTGGCTGTACCTACTGTTACTATGGGTGGACTTGATGGCACCCAGCCAACAATAGCTGACACTGAGCAAAAACACCACTTTGAGGACTAAGGTCTGCTTGAAATGAGTCATGGTATTTTCAATTCTCTTCTAACACGTGAATGACAGACAGTGGAAAGACTGAAGGAGAACTGATGCCTTTAAATTGTGATGTAAGCAAAGAATGCTGCATATACCATGAATACGGAAGAAACCCACACAAGTCTGCCTGGAAGAGGTGCACTCAGAGCGCCCTGGGAGCAAGGATGTGAGACCTGGTCTCAGGTACTTTAGACGTGTCATGCTACGGGGCCAGTTCCCGGAGAAGGGCATTGTACCTGATTGGGGGTGGGCGGGGGGTGATAAGAAGATCATCAACAAGATGGACTGACACAGTACAACACGGCTCAAGTATGGCAACAGTTGTGAGATGACACAGGAGTGGACAGTGTTTTGTCTGGACCAGCTCAGTGCACGCAGCCTGCCAACACTAAGAACAGTAGCATTTAAGCTCTCTTCTCATTAAACTTAGTTGTAAAAGGGATTTGTGACACAAGGTACTTTTGGTCAACATCCTGTGGATTTGCTATTCGTGGCCCTCCATCAGAAGTGAGGCTTAGGAGTCAAACGAGACCAGAGTCCTGGCAATCAGTCTTCTATCAGCACTCATTCATGAACCTCTCCAAGCTCCAGCTTCTTTATCCCCACAATGGTAACAACAACAAACTAAGCAGCAGTAACACCAGGACCTCTGTGCAGGGAAGATGGACAGCCAGGGAGGTCAAATGCCAGCTGTAATCTCTGCTGAAGGACCAGGCTTTGCATCGAGACTCCTTCACATCTGGATGTGGTCAGAAGAGTTCATTACTTCACTGCCTCTTCATCCCATCCCTCAAGTGTACAGTAGAAGTAATCACAGTAC